TCTCATTCCATGTAAATATGTATACACAATTATTTACACAATTATTCATTATCTACATTACTGATGGAACCAAAAATATCTTCACAAATATTAAATACAACAAATAACTTATCAATGGCGTTGGTAGCCACCTGTAATTCAGGTAACTTAGCAGTAATTTTACGTAAAATATTGCCAAATGACAGGCTTTTAAGCATGTTACTGATTTCCCCGAAAAATATCATTATGTCCATGCGGCCTCCAAGACCAACTTCATTTGATGAACTGTTACAGTTCACATTATTAACTTTTAATGAAGTTAATAATGTGAACTGTTGCTTTTTAATACATCAATTCTTTTAGGTTTTGAATTATTGGCAACAGAGGCATAAGACAGTCCGTTGACAACAGGGGTACTTTTTACATTAACAGTATTCTGGCTAGCAGCCTGTTTAAAGTTAGCTACGAAACTTTTGCTTGCAGTTGAGTTAGCATTACTTTTAAATAAATTATTGTTCATAGGGAATTTAGGGCAACCCCTATAATTGGCCGTGTGACCAGTTTGAAGGCAGTTGCAACACTTGACAGTTTCTAGACGTTTAGCAGAGCAATCTGCAGTTTTGTGTGGCCCGGCACACTTCACACATCTAGATTTAAATTTGCAAATATCAGAAGAGTCGTGGAAGTGCTGGCAGTTGTGACACTGCACAGCACTTCCATTAGATTGGTAGACAACAATTTTCACATAAAACCCCATGAACTTAATAATGTCATAGACCTGTTCTATCCCGGGGGCATTGTTAAGTTGCACCTGGAACAATGGCATTGGAGCTCTGGTCTTAACTTTATGCATCTGCGCTACTCTCCGGACCTTGTACCTTAGGGCTTGCAATTCCTCGTTAATATCCTCTATAGGGCAGTCAATCGGCAATCCTCTGATAACCACTTTAATGGGTTTGTCATGTTTGGTCAGAATAACGTAGTGGTCTACCTTCTTTCCGTCCAGGTACTGTGTAATTACTCTGTGATCAACATCTGTTACAGGAAATATTTTTAAAAATTCACCACTGACTTTACCAATAAATTCTTGTTTGGTGTCGGTTCTAAGGACTTTCAAAAAATCACTGACTTAACATCAGGTTTTACCATAATGGGGCGAATTTTAGGTGGTTGAACAGGGACTGCATCATTATCAGATCCAGTTTGGGTATCCATAGCAATAATTTGAACATCATTATCACACACATTTGCAGTACTATTATCATCAAAATTGTTACAAGAAAGATTTTAGAATTTATTGGCTATAGAAAGTTCAATATTATTTTTAACAAGTTTAGCATGGCGGGAGGTGTTCCTCGGAAGGATAAAACCATCCTCATCCCGTGCGTCATTAATTGATCTTTTAGCTCTTTTTATGGAATTTTTCTAAGCCTTTGGCTTAACTTTATCATCAGAATCATTAGCTGTAATTACTTTAGAATTATTATCAACAATTTTCTTAGCATCCACAGTAGCAGTATCAATTTTATGCATAAAAATATCCTTAGCATTAAATTTAGCATAATTTGGGTTTGGGCTACAAAAATACTCGCACTTCCTTTAAGTGTATCGAAAAGTTCTTCAGCGATGGATCTCTGCGAAAGTCATCCTGTGCATTCCTCCTGTGCCATTAAATTCCTACAAACTTGAAAATATCTTCCCAAAAAGTAAACTCCCAAAAGTAAATCACTAAAAAAAACAAAAGTTTCTCAGTGTGATTAAAATAGAAATTTCAAGGATTTCTTGGTACACACTGGAATTTTTTTATTTATACACAATGAAACATTCTTGCTCTTCCCATGACAAAAAGGTCAAGGTAGGGTAAGGTAAAAAAAGGGTAAATTTAAGTGAAAGATGAAGTAAATTTAAAAAAAAGGGTAAATTTAAGTGAAAATATGAAGCATTTTTTAAAAATATTTCTTGCTTGAAACATCAAATACTTATTCTATGATGACAATGTGACATAAAAAATTGTACTTTCACAGCCAAAAGCCAACTTATCTTGAATCCACACTGGACTCTTTAGAAGTCAGATGATGTTTCTTCTTGGATGCATTATGATTTAATCTACTTCAGAAGTGGTTCTAATTCATCACATTCTTTAAACACGTTTATCTCTTCAACTAGCTATTAGTTAAACTGCCATTATTAAAGGGAAAAACTTGACTTATGTTTGCTTTTACTCGTGATTTTTTAAGAAAGCAGGTAAACAAATTTACTCGAAAAAATTATAAAATTTCCACAGAATTTTTTATTTGACCTTTAAACAATTATTTAACCTTATCTTTTATTAATATTAATATACGCTTTTAGTTTCTTGAACTACTATTCTCTTTCATTTGAAGAAATATAATCTCACTCACACCTGTTTGATGAGTTATATTTGCTGAAACTATTGCAGTACCCTGGTCATTGGCAACTAATTATAAACCCTTTACAGATTTTAAAGGGAGAATAGTTGATAATAAAAATTAACTAAGAGGGAAATGCGTACAGAAAATTTGCAGCCTGACGCTGATTTAGTAATTTTGTAAGAACTACTCAGGGTATTGGACAAAACAAAGAATACATAGAAGAAAACAGAAAGTAAGACTTTCACACAATTAGAAAACTGAAGAGGCATATTGTTTCATTTGTTTTAAATAGTATGTAATCTGAGGTGTTTTTTAATATTCCAATCAGCTAATGAAATTACATTCATATCTTTAACTGTTTAGCATTAAATATGAATTAATGCTTGTATTAACGCTGAATTCTCAGGCATTATTTGCATCTCTTTGAGGCATTTAATTTATGCTTCATATTACACACATACTACGTTGCTTGTTTAGAGAAACATAATCTGTCGAATTACTTTTAATTACTTTGCCTCGAACAAAACAGGAAGTTTTTGAATATTTTACAAAAATTAATACCTTATATCAAAATGTAGCAGGTCACAATATTATTACTGTTGTAAACGTGAAACTCTTAAATATATTTTGTAAATGACTAAATAGCAGATTTGGCAGTATTATTTACATTTTTGCTTCCACGAAGCAAAGAGATCCACGAAGGGTATCATTTCAAATAAACTATTCAAGTAGCAGTAGAAAGCTTGATTTATTTAGTTCTTAATAAATCACCTATGCATTATTAGCGCGTATTTTACAGTAGTTGTAGCGTTTTTACCTAAATTACCTTAAATAAACTATGCATCAGACCAATCAATAGTACAGTGGTATCATGTATCTTTTATGTACACCATGTATCTTTTATGCTGCAGAACACTGCACATAATCACTGACAAGCCTTTAAAAATTACAGGAAAACATTCCTTGCTATTTTTTGAAACATAAGATGAGTTTCAAAGTCAAAGAAACTAGAATAAGTTAAGGCAGGCTCTAAAAATTAAATATGAGTAAGTTCTCATTTCAATAAGCCATGACCTTCAGTCTTAGTTGAAGTTTTTTACCTAGGGCGATGTCAATTAAAGATAAGCATATTTTTTCGAATTTAAATATTTGCTTGATCAATAAAATTTTGGTCCCCTCCAAATTCATTAAGTCTAAATGGGAATTACATGCCATATGAGACCGTTTGTACGGATCCTCAATGTCTCATTACTTTCCTCATTATCTCCTAGAACCAAAAAGACAGACAGACGATTTCTTGTCCCTCTAACCTTCTAAAATAGAGTGATCACAGACCCAGATGAAAGTATAAAATAAATCTTTTCATTAAACGTGTCATAGCCTGACGGTTACAAAAATAACTCATAACAATAAGAGAAAATCAAATCTCCGCAGCTTCCAGAAAATTCAGAATAAACTCTCAAGTCAAATTAGAATATTATTAGAAAGTGACACGCCCCTAAATAAGCTTTGGCTCAGGTCTCAATATCTCGGCGAAGCAATTTCAGCTAGCGAAGTTAAAGCTGATTTTAAATCAGTCGCAAGGGGAAGTGACAGATTGACTGGTCCTCAAAAAGCATGATGCAAAATGATTCGATAATAGTTATGATGTATAAGTGGTCCATCCTGATTTTCAAATAACAAATTTTTAGTTATTTTCATTTTGATTTATTTAACTACTGATTTGTGCAATATCAGATAGGAATGCTCTGGAACTTTGTAACATATGCTTTGGAAGTATATTGAGATGTTAAGTGCTCACAAATTTCTTAATTTCTTGAATTGCATGGTATAATTACATAGATGCGTAGCATGAAACAATAGCATTCCTCCTCTCTTGCAGTGTAGTGCTCAACATAACCAACTAATAATTCCAATATTTGTGGGTTGGTTCCCAGTGAAGGCATGGTTGATTTTTTGCGTTTACCCCTGTGAAAAGCTTAACATTTTCTAAGCATAACAAATTATGAGGTTTAAGTTTGGTTAGGCTATTTGAATACGTCAAAGCACACCAGGGTTATCTGCCTCAGGGCAGGGATACCTTCGTGGAAAATTTTCTAAGGAAAATTGACTCGTATTCACATTACATGAGGGGAAAGCTCGAAAACTAACCATGCGGCCAGCCCTTTCGTCAGGGCTCGAACCCAAAAAGAACTATAAGTATTCAGCTGTGTTAAACCCTCGAGCACTGGTGGGGATAACTAATTAAGAAAAATCTGCAATGATTTTAACCTGATGAATTACTTTATCAAATTGTTTCGTTCCAAAGCTTGGGTTTTTTTTTTTATTTTTTTTTTATCGTTAAACATTATTATTTCATTTAAGATATTTATCATCAATATATAAAATTATTTGTTTGTTTATAGCGTCAGATAAATCCGTGAAAGATCCTGTGGCGAAAGGTGACAGTGAATAATTTCAAATATATAACTATTCATCTAGTTGGATATTTTTATAAGAGAGTGGAAAATATTTTAGAAATTAATGAAAATTACTAACTCATTTAGTTAATTTCTTTTAATTAATAGGGATTTAATTTTAATTAATAAGTACTTTATTTTGAACGTTGAATTAAGAATGTATTTTCAGGTCTGATGTTGTGCTGCTTTGTTTTTCAATATCCAGTCTCCAGTCTCTCAAAAACTGCAAAACAAAGTGGTACCCAGAAATAAAGCACAATTGTCCACATGCACCTATTGTCCTGGTAGGATGCAAAAACGACCTGAGGCATATATATCGCGATGAGCATTTTCTTGAACTATGTCGGGAAAGAAGTCCTTTTGTGCGGTAAGTACTTCCAATAATTCTAGAAATCTTTTCAGAATTGATTTCTTCTAAATGACAAAGCAGAGATAACAAGTAAACTCATGCAAATTGTATTTTCTTAGATTCCCCCCAGTAATTATTATTTATCTCATTTTAAGAAAAAATACTTTTGAATTATGTAGTAAAGGCTTTTAGGATATTCAATCGATATTTTGATCTTTGGTATGGAGGATATTAAGGATGTTTAGATATCATAGACACTGCCATCCAGATAGTCATTCCACGCGCGGAAGATGTCTGGTAATCCGCAGCAAAAGCGCTAATCGACTGTCTAAAAAATTTATGTGTCAGTCATTGATGTTGTTGCAAAATGTATCACATCACTTTTCACACCCGAATCCTTCGTTTACGAAACAGATATCACTGCGGACCTTGCCAGCATTACCCACTGCCCATTATTCAGAGAACAAGATATGTCCTCTGGAATATAATGCTTGATCTGAAATGGCTAAAATAGAATTAAATGGCTAAAATTTACACTCATAAAGAGTATTATAAATATTAATACTTATGAAGAGAATCACATTCATACTTCTAAAAAGGATCATATGACCATAAATGGTGCAAAGCTATCGATTTATGCCATTCGTGTAAATTTTCACATACGCTTTAAGATGACCTTCTATCCTTAGAAAATTTGGCAGATTCACCTCCCGAACATCGCACTATTATTCAGAATCCCACTATTAGTTGTGAAGCAGATGCTGTGGGCTGCAGCGTGAAGTGCTTTCTCTGCAGTAAGTTTAATTAAGTCCTAGTGGGTAATGAAAAAATTTATGAGGTTACAGAAAATTAAGTAGAAAAATCTCTGAGTTTGTTCACAGACCATATTTTACAGTTTGTGGTTTTAAATTCAGCAGTGATTAAAAGTTTCTTGAAAGGAAAACCAGGAATAAAAATATATTTCTTCGAGATCGTTCATACATAGCGCAGGAAAAAATCATACTATATCCCTACGATCCTGCGTCGGCGAAGTAAAAAGCGAGTCCTCGGATTCCGCCTTTCTTTCCCCGTTTGATCCCGGATTGCAGCGTCTCACAGGAAAAAATCCCTTTTTCTTAAATTCCGTATCAGCCCTTTCTGCTCAGCCTTGCTTATCATCTCTGCCTTCCACACGGTACTCTGCCTGAATTCCAGTTTTTTTCAACAATGGCATATCCTGTCTATCGTAAAAATTCTTGATCCGATCAACGTTCGAGAAACAAATTCTCTTCCTCAGATTGTTTTGCAAAAACACCATAGTATCTTTGGTATTGACAACAATATACGATCCGTCAAATCTGGGATTAAAATTTACTTGGCTCATTTTTCCACGCGGATGACAACATGATTGATTTTCAAAACTTTTCTTCAATCTCTAATTGTCTGCCACCTTCTTTTAAAAAAATACAATTTTTGCTTGTGCCTGACCTAATCCGGCATTTTAAGCACCTCATTGATTAATTTAATTTTTTTTATGTTTTTGAAATTCCAATTTCCTCTCCTGCACAAAAAGTAATTTATGTAAGTATGTGTCGTTATCTTTCGGCCCAGAAATAGTTCTGTCGGTGAATTTTCCATTGCTTCATGTTTCACGGATCGCAATGCGTACGCTAATTGTACAATTTTTGGCAGCAGTGATATTTTTTTCACATAACAACGAATTATATGCACTATATTTCTATTTAAGAACTCTTTAATATTTGACTGAGGTCCGTCTGAGGCCACATTTCTGTCTTTTTCATGTGTTTTAATCTCCAGGTCTGTGCACAGCTTCTCAAAAATGTTATTTAAAAATTGAGATCCATTATTAAAAATTATTTTAGGGAAGGTTTATATTTAAAAATACCTATTTTCAAAGCGCTTTCACTATAGCAGGTCTTAACAACACCCTCCCAATAAATTTATACCAGCTCAAAGCTTGGGTCTTTACACTAATGCTATCAGGTTCAGTGTTTCTCCTTACTTGCTTTGGGAACATTCAAGAACCTGACTCGGAACAGGGAGCTTACTAAAGCTATGTTCAATAAATGTGGGAAGTAGACAAGAATACACGGAAAGGTATACGAAACCCTTTATTTTTCACTCTTTACAATGGTTTCCGGACTTCGGAATACAGAGACCCAAACCACTTGTGGTCGAACGTAAGATATAAAAATATTACTACCTCTAACTTAAACTTTGGAATAATAAACAGGCTACGTGGAAGATTTGGCCGTATATTAACAGGAAGCCCTATGTAAACAGAGAACTGTTACACTACGAATACTTTAAAATTATCAAGAGGATTAAACCTCTGGCCTGGAAGGCAACCAGAACCGAGTAAATTTGCTAAGGCAAGCGGCCTGCTTACTACTAACTCCTTCCTCTCTCGCTGCTTGGCAAAAGCCACAACTTAAGTACTTGGCATCGCCAACAAATTTGCATAAAAAGTTAAAGCTTTTAATTTTAATTCTGGCCGGAAGTAGAAAATAAGAAGTGATAGTAAAGATTTAAAATAAAATAAACGTTAGTAAAACTTAAGATCCATACAATGCGACCATTACGAGCTTTTGCGACTTCGGCACAGCGTGAAATACGAAATGAATCACAGTTTTTCTAGAAGCTTGATACTGACCCTGTTCCATCAGACACAGCATTCGGCTTGATCATGAAATCCTTCTAAGGATTACTTCCTTGCTTGGGGCCAAATCTCGCTTGGGCCGAACATTTCTGACTAAAACTACACCTTCACATGGTCTTTCCGCTATTACTTTGTAGTTTTAAGGCCCGTTTCCACTACTGCGTATGCGTTGCGGTGCGTATGCGTTTCTCCAATCAGCGAGCGAATTCACTTTGATTGACATCTGCAATCCGGTCGGTGTGCGGTGACGGATGACATACGGATGGAGTTCAACAATGTTCAACTTCTATCTGTATGTCTGCGGTTGCGTTGGGGTCACGTGGTGAAAAAGGAGCAATCAGGTGCAGTGACTAAAAATTTAATGGCGGCAGAGAAAGTAGGGCGATGAACGCTCGCTAATAGGGAAAGAATGTTTGCTAAAAAATACTTATTTCTGAATTAAACATTATAGCGAGAAATCTGCGTGCTGAAAAAAATGACAGCATCAGCTGAATTTAGTTTAAAATGATAGAAAAAACAAGATAACTTCAACTACAGTATTTTTTCATTCAAGAAAATCAGCGGCAAAAATTATCATTCCAAGTCCATGAAATGAGCAAAATTTTTCTGATAATCATTTTTTAGTTCTGCATACTCATTTAGCTTTAATGAAAATGAATGTCTGACATATCAAACTGCTATAGCAAATTAGGTTATGATTAAAGATTTGCTTTTTTTTCTTTGAAACAGGTAAAAAACTAAACATTATTATAAATTAAATTTGATAGCCTTTTTAAATACTCCAGTTCATTGAAGAGTATGTTAAATTTGTATTTTCCCTTTATAATATATCTTTTTGGATAACATATATTTGTAAGCACCTGAAATATGTTTTAGCAGCCCGTTTAAACTTCAAATCGGAACGCCACTTTAAAAGATAATGATTTTTCCAAAAATGTACAAGAAGCTGAAGAACAAACTCTGGTGAAATTTTTCAGACAATAGCAAAGTGAAATAGGACCAAAAAACTTAAGTTTTAAATTTATTTACTTGATGATGTATATAACCCAAAATATGCATGCGACTTACGTGTAATCCTAGCTTAGTGGTAAAGCTGATGGTAACGATGTCCACCTTTTTGGAGTCGTGAGTTCGAATCCCATACGCTTTTTGCACCATGTCTGCAACTTTCTTACCTTTTATTCCAATTTGATCTATATTCGTGTTTTATAATTTATTTCTATTATTAATGCTTATTAAATATATATTGTTTATTTATGCTCTTATTTATTTAAATTTTTCCCTCAAAAAAGTTTGAAAATTACATAATACTAATTTAAAGCATATCCTGTACATATATATTTGAATTTAACAAACATTCTCTATTCGTAAAAAGCAAATTTAAAGTAATAATTTAAATGAAATTTAATGCAAACAAAGAAATGATTAATTATTGCTGTGCAAGTATCAAAACCATGAATAAATATATAATTACAAAAATTTATTAATCCTTAAAAAATTTATAAAAAAATGCATAAGAATAAGTGAATAATGGATAGATTATTAATCCTAAAAAAATTAAAAAAAATGCATAATTGAATAATAGGATAGATTTTAAATCCTAAAAAAATTATAAAAATGCGTAAGTGAATAATAGGATAGCTTATTAATCCTAAAAAAATTATAAAAATGCATAAATGAATATTAGGATAGATTTAATCCTAAAAAAACTTATAAAAATGCATAACTGAATAATAGGATAAATAAATTTTTGGAATTATATATTTATTCATGGATTTTGATACTTGCACTGATTTACATATGCTCTCAGAATTTAAATGATATTGTTATATTAGTTCGCAGCAATAATTAATCCTTTATTTGTTTGCATTAAATTTTCCTTTAAATTTAATTAACTTTTAATTTTTACGAATAGAAAATGTTTGTTAAATTCAAATTTCATTCCTTGCAGCAATGGCGCAAGAGAATTATTTAAATTTAATTTATTTAGAAAACCCTGCAGATATATATACAATATTTTCGTTTCACTTTTATGTGAATGTATATACATGTGGTCAGACTTTGGGATGTTTACGACTCTAAAACTTTCATTCCAATTAACATGAGACAGTATTAATGCCCTAACATTTTTTTAACAAAAAAATTACTATAATATTTACTTTTAATTCAGTCCTCTCCTGCAGAAGCGCAGGAAATAATTAATTTAAATATTTCCATTTTCTATACCTAATGTGTGTATATATAAAGAGAAAAATCTTATTTTTATAACTTCTTGTATAAAAAGAGATATGAATTAAAAATGTTTGAATAAAAATAATATTTTATGGATTATGTATAAAATATAACTGCCCATAGTGCA